ATTTCTAATTATTTTGTCTTTGCAAGAATGTTAAATTAGTGGAATTACACAGTATATAACTTTTTGAGATTGGCTTTTTTTTTATTCAGCATACTTCTCTTGAGATCTATACAAATTCTTGCATTCATCAATAGTTCATTTCTTTTTATTGCTGAGGTAGTAGTCCATGGTATGATGTGCCACAGTTTAAACTATTCACCCATTGGAGACATACGGTTTGTTTTCCGTTTTTGCCTATTATGAGTAAAATTGCTATGAAAATTCATGTACAGGTATCATATGGACCTAAGTTTTAATTTTTCTGGGATAAATGCCCAAGAGTGCAATTGCTGAGTCACATGGTAAACACGTTTAGTTTTATAAAAAACTGCTTTATCAGACACACACGCACACAATATTTTGCTTAATTTTACCAATATTATGTTCTATAAAAATAGTATTGTACTATATGTATGCAGCCTTATGGAATTTACTTTTTCACCTAATATTAGATTTCCAAGATTTCTCTATGTTGTTGCAAGTAGCTGTAGTTTTCATTTTCATTGCTGTATTAATATTTCATTTTCAAAATCTCAGTATTCAATCAATGGTGAAACAAGTTGTACCATTTTGTGAAGGTGCACCACTTCTGAATGAAGCATTCACGTCCAAGTTTCTTTGGGTATATTCCTAGGAATCCTATTGCTGAATTTTAAGAAATTTGAATGTTCAACTTTCAGATAAAACGCTAAACTGTTATCCAAAGTGGCTGTACCAATTAACACTTCTACCATCAAAGTTTAAGAGTTCTTCTAATTCACATCCTCTCAAGCCCTAAGTCTTGTTTGACTTAATTTTTGTCAGTGTCACAGGTTTTTATCATTTTCCTGTCTCCAAAAAATTTTCTCATTTATTTTCATTTACTCTTTCAAGTTACTTTATCTTCAACATGTCAAGTTGAAAAAATAAATCTAGTTGGAGTTAGTTTGAAAAATGCAAAAAATCAACATGTTAAAAGTTCTGTCATCTTTATAACACTAGTTCCTCCTCACCCACCCCTCCACACATGCCCCTTTCAGAATATTGCATATTCCTTTTTTTATTCAGATCTTCCTTTATCACCTTCAATAAAATTTTAAGTTGACAATGTGATGACAATATTCCTCATCTGTAATATTGAGATAAAAATTCTTTTGCCTCATAGAATGGCCGGGAAGAGAAAATTCCAAGTAGCATGTCTCATGGCACATGTTACATGCTCTACAAAGGTTAAATATTGTTGTTATTGTTTATGATTATTCACATACATTTTGAACTGATTTTTATTGCTCATCCCAAGGCATTTGATACTATTCTAAAAATGAGATCATTTTGTCAATTCTTTTCTAACTGGCTAATACTTATAGATCAGAAACCTACTGATTTGTACATCTTTATCTTGTAATCAGCCATATCACTGACCACATTCCTAGGTAAACAACCATGATGTTGTTGCAAATAGTGATAACTTCTGCTTTTCTTTCCTAATATTTATACTTATACCTATATTAGGCCTATAATTTCTTTGCAATTCCACTTTCTGGTTTAAAAATGTTTTCCAGCCCTGTAGAATGAAATGGGAACGTTTAGGTATGTTTCTATAGTATATTGTAAATAAAATAACGTAATTAACTATTTTTAAAGTTCCAGTAGACTATGTCAATGTTCTCCACTGAGTGCTTTTGGAAGATGAATTTCTGAGTATCTTTTCAAGATCTTCTGGGGATTATTAATCCACACATATTCAAATGTTTACTTATTCCTGAGTTATTTACACTAACTTATATTTTCCTAATTGTGGAAAGTAGAAAAAGAACACTGATATACTTAAAAGCATTTTATGTTTATTATGTAAATATTTTACACAAATTATAAATTATTTTTGTTTCAGAAAACAAGCATGGGTACACTGAGTCCTTGCATGTCTGCAAACGCACTTGATTGTCATCATAGTTAAATACCAATTAGGCTAATATAGAAGTCAATATTTAAAACCTAAATCCTTTCGAACTGTGTTGATATCTTCCCATTGTACAATGAAGATGATTATCATTCATCAAATATTTAGTAAGAGGCCACTCTGTGTGGCGCTCTTCAAGGAACAGGAGATACAGTGGTGAACAAAGCAGACAAGATTCCTGCCCTGGTGGAGCTGACATTCTAGTTGTAAAGGGACGGTCAACAAACAAATACACAACTACAATATATGATACATCAGATGCTAATAAGTGCAAAGTAAAGTTGGGAAAGGGACAGGGAAAGTTTTGTGGATGGCGACGGAAGAGTGATCTGGGTCTTCTGGTACCTCTGGGAATGGGCAGAGGTGCCTGAAGGAGTCACAATCCCAAGTGCAAGGCTGTGCTCTGCTTTATGGGTTTCCTTCTTCTCTATCTTGGCCTTGTCATCTTCATTGCTTTGTTAGCTAGCACTCTGATACATTCAAGTGGATTTTAATATTTTGTCCAAGTAGTAGTACTAAATATTTTTATAAGTACAATTTGTTGCAGGTGCTGCAGTGGAGTGGTGGAGAGTGTTAGGTGTGTAGATCCAGACTCAGACTGACTTCAAATCCTAGTTATGCTTTTTAATAATTTTGTTACTTTGGGCAATTTAATCTCTGTATGAATGGTTCCCTCATCTGTAAAAGTGAGAGTAAGAGTAACTTCCTCATAAGGATTGTCGTGGAGAATAAGAATAACTTCCTCATAAGTACTGTCGTGAAGACTAAGTATTTGATGTAAAGTGGTCAGACCAGCACCCGGCACAGTATGAGTTAGCTGTATTTTTCTCACACGTATTCTTATCAGAGCTTAAGTACTACTACTATTCTGTCTTCTCTCTGAGTCTCATATGTCCTCGTAGTTGGTTGACTTCACTACAATCTCTTTTCCAGATCATTCAAAAATACCTTAAACGTTGGGTTCAACATATATCAAGATTTATCCATGCTAAGAAATTTCCATAGATTTCAAGCCTGTTCTCTCAATAAGCCAGCATTACTTTAATCCCACTTCTCCAGTTAAAATTTCAGTTTGGTTAGGAAAAAAAAAAGACAAAAAAGCCCGTTAAAAAAATTAAAGAACATTCTCTTGCAACAGAAGTTAAGCAGTGAGAGAGGATGAAAATTATAAGTAACTCTAAAGGATCAAGAGTTTTGAGTTATCCCAAGAAACCATCTTTTACTTAAAAGATGAATACCATACCAGGTTATTTGTGTGGTCAGAAAGGCAAAAAATACCTTGCGTTTTCATACCATATTCAGTACCATAGATTTTTAACTTGTGATGACAAGTTATTGTCTAATGATTATAGGTCAAAGGGAACTGTGCTAGTGCTTTTATACATCTTTTAATCCTCACAACTCATCACCCCACTTTACAGTTGAGGTCACTGAGGTTCAGGAAGTTTCCCAAGAGTAGGGTAATTGGTCAAAGGTCAGAATTTCAAGTCCAAGTCAACACCTTAAAGTCATAAAGTTTGTTATTTTATTCTTACAAATTTAACCTGGACTAATTAAAGACTTGAGGAAATAAAAATTAGACTACCAAGTCAACCTTTACCACTCTAACATTCCTAAATCTGCATGTACTTGCTTTCAAATTCAAACACCTGGTGTTTGTTACATGCAAGACAATAAGAAAAATATAAATATAAAAAGCATTCCTTGCTTTCAAAAAGCTTGCCAGAAGAACCCGCGAACAGTAATGCTTCAAACAATCCGTTACAGAACAGCAAAGCACTGCGTTGATAATATAAGCACTTTATCTAACTGTTCTTATTCTTGACCACTGAGTGCTTTATGTTTTTAAAGACCCCTTAGCAATGTTGGGAGATAAGAGAACAAAGGGGGAAATATTTTCATAACGATCTGCCCACTATATTAACCTTGTCAAAAAGTCCAATTAGTCACTCATTCAGTGTTGAAGGCTGTGAATTTTTACTTAATAAAATCTAGGTGTCATAAGACATACTTATTAAAACAACGTTTCAACTAGAAGTGAGGGCAAAACAGAGGGCTTTAGGGAGAAAGAGCGACTAGATGATTGGCCAGTGCAGAGCAGGAAAGGAGCGACAGAGAACAAAGACTACTATTCCTAATCTAGTATTTCACTACTGAAGCAAAAAGGAAAAAACCCCAAAGAACAAGCCTCTTAGGTCCAAGCTTGCAACTTCCTCAATTTTTGTCCATTTCGTTGGGGAATGTCATGCAAACCACCCTTTATCTCCCTCTACCCTGTTTCACTGTCTCTAGAGTTATTTTCCCCTTTCTTGAATGATGATGAACACAAGTTGTAAAATAAAAGGGTCGGGCCTTCCAGCTCTGCAACAGTTATTATTTTACGTGCTTAAGTTGGAAATTTGATTCCGAGAAGCTCAAGAGTCGATTCCCACAGGTTGCTCCTACCTCGGAGCAACTTAAGCTCCAGTTACCGCTAAGTCTGACCGGGTCCTAGCAACCGCGGCGCGCTGGACAGGGCACTCCAACCTCACCCCATCTCACCTCCGCCCTCCCTCCCACGGTCCCTCCCCGCTCAGGCTGTCTTCACCTCCTACACCCTCAGTTGAGGCGCCTACCGCCACGCGCAGTCAAAAAAGCTTTCCCTTTGGGGGAAGGGAGAGATAAAGGTTCATTTCTGGAAGAATCTGAGCACTCGGGACGCGGGGCAGCTGCAAGAAGTGGGAGGGGGAACGACCAGAAAGGGGGCGGGGAGCGCAGCACTATCCACCAACATCTTTGCACTCCGAGATCGCCAAGTGCCTTTCGGGCCTCCACTGCAGCCGAGACGTTCTTTCTTCCTTGCACCCAGGGCCGGGATGGGAATGTGGACTCCAGACTCCCCAAGATGAGGATGAGGAAGCGGGAAGGGGAGTTCACGACTGCCTCGGTCCCGAGGGGGCGGGAAGCGAGAAGAACAAAAGCCGCTGCCACCCATACTCCCGGGTAGCCGGGCGACCCAGAAGGACCCGGGAGGCCCGCTTACCTGCCGTCAGCAATTGCATGGCGTGAGTGAAGGACGGGTCGAGCGAGTCCTTCTCGGCCATGAGTTCGGGCAGGTACTTGTTCTCCGGCTCCATTTTGACGGAGGCAGTGGCCGAGGGGGGCAGCAGCGGTGTCGGAGCAGGACCGCCCACTGTCGTGTCGGGACCCGTGGCGGAGGGCGGCAGCAGCGGTGGCGGCTGCGTGGCGGGCGAGGCCCGGGCGGCCCCCCGGGACCCCCCTCCGCCTCCCCGGGACCGATGAGGCATCGGCGGCTGCCGAGACGGCGCCTGACGCACTGAAGGGTGGGCACCTGAGGGGTCCATGGAGCCGCTGCGGCCTGAGGACCGGCTCATGCGCGCGGCGGGGTCGTCCCGGCGCTGCATTGGGGAGGATGTGCGATCGATGAATCGAGGAAGAGACGCGGCAGCGGCAGAGGCCCGAGTGGCAGTTGGCGGGGGTAGGAGACTGGAGCGACGGCGACCGAAACCGACCCGAGCGACCCAGCGAAAGAGCACCGGAAATGAGGCGTCGCGCGTGCGCAGCAAGTCACCGGCACCGCCCTTGGGTCTCTCCGCGAAGAACAAAGTCCCCAGTTGGGCCACGGCGCCTGCGCACCGCCGCGGAGCCGAAGAAGTCGCCACCCTGCTCTCCTTTTCCCTCCGAGCCCGCCAGGCCAAAGCCTTGTGCGCTTGCGCGGGTGGCCGCGGACCGCGCTCGTTTTCTTAACCACATGACTGGGCGCTAGCGGGACACGTGTCTCCTCCCTCTTCGGGCCGAGTGCGCGGTGGGGGCGGGGCTGTGGAATGTCTTTGTCTGCGCGCGGGCCCGCGGAGTGTGGGGCGGGAGACCTGTTACTTGCGGGACCACGCCTCCTGTAACGGCTAAGCCGTAGGGTGGGGGACGGGAGGTTGTGCTCAATGGGGTGGGAGGGGTTATTGAGGTAGAGGAATAAAAGACTGGCGTGGGAGACGCGAGGTGCGGGTGGCGTGGGGAAGAGAAAATTGAGGCTGGCTGGGCCTGGGAAGAGAAGAGAGAGAGAGACGGCTCGGGAGGCTTGGGGTAAAGAAGGAACGACCAAGGGAGAGTCTGACGCAGGGATGAGGGGTGCAGATGAAAAAGGAAAGCTTGGAGGGAGAAATTGAGGAAGGACGCGGCAGTGGGAAGACTGAAGGCTGTTGGAGGACTTGAACTAAGATTCTTGCGCAAAAAAGTGGGATAGAGGCCAGGTCCTTAATCCGTGATGGTTGCATCATTAGGGTGGCTCCTGCCTCTTTTTGGGCCCTTCACGATTGATAATTCCAAGACCTGTTCAAAGAGATCCTTACCACTGCTCTCAAGGCCAATGTATGTAGTGGACAGTCTCCCAATGCGTTCTCCTCATCCTGGATATACCTGGTGCCGTCTCTAACCTTTTCTTTCTTCCACAGATTTTTGCTCCTCTCATTCTAAGCACTCCCATCCCTTTTCCTTCTGTATCAGTTTCCCAAAATAAGCCAATGCTTTTGAAGAGCATTTCTGGAAATTATCTTCTGGGTGCCTGGAAACTGTTGATTTTGGGATCTGAAACTTCAACAAGAGAACATTAAGGCCTGGCTACCTTCTTGTGAGTGGGGGAGAGAAATCACAGAAATGAGAACAAAACACAAATATCTTCAGAAATTATCACATATATTATATAGATATATTTCCGGTGTCAGATGCAGTACTTTACTTTGAGGTCACAAAGGTAGTTTATATTCAAGTAGGAGAAAAAAAGAGTATTTAATTGTAATGAAAAATTGCAATGTGACAAATGCCAAGAGATAAGTGAATATTAAGTACGATTGGAGTTTAAAGCACAAGATAGATTTCAACCAGGGGAGAATGAGTTCCAGGCAAAGGGAAGCGTGAATAAAAGAGCAGAGATGAGAATGTCAGAGATGCATTTAAGGAATGGGAGTGATCGAGTTGTGAAGAAATAGTGGGGTGAGACATCAAAGGCATGGAGAAGGGAAAGGGGGCAAGGAGGATTTATAGCTCCCTAGCAACTCATTACTGCTGCTGTCCTTGAAAATTCTGCTTGGGTGATGGCGTTACAAATGGCTGAAGTGTCCTTGCTCTGTAATGAGATGCCCAGATAAAGGTACCTTGAGCTGAGGCTAATAAAACTTTGATAAGGAAGTGTCTGAGAAGGAGCTGGGTAGTGGTATCTATGGGTTTCTAGACTAGAATCAACATTCTTACCTGATGGCTGCCAAACCTTGACTTACTTTCTCTGAGGATGGGGTTGAGGGGAGGTATGAGCTCTTCTTCGTGGTGAGATGCACAAAAGGTAATTTATGAAACGATGGTTGTGTGCCCGCAGTGTACTTACCAAGTACATGGTGCAGCAGCCTTCCATTGTGGGGGGAGGGGTGGAGAGTGTGGGGGGAGGAAACCTCCCCTAGGAATTGGAAAGAGTAATTCCTGCCCTGAAGCCTAGAGGTCTGCAGTTCATTTTATGTGGACCACGGTATGCTACCCGACGTTCTCCTGAAGGTATTAACAGTATGGCCTTGTGAAATGACTGACTTTGGAGTCAGGTGGACAAATTTAAATCTAGCAATGCCTTGTCTTTGCTGTGTGTCATTGGGAAAACCACAACCTGGCTGAGCCTTAACTTCCTTCTCTATAGAGTGGAGGTAATGACATCTGCCTTGCAGAATGGTGGACATTAACAAATATCAGTGTAAACCTCCCGATAGTAGGGCTTCTAAACAGCAGTAATAATAATTATTATGTCATTTAGTGCCTAATGAAGAGTTTTGGGTGCTCGTGTTGGCTGTGGATCTGCACGGCCTGCTCTCTAATCTCTTGTGTTCACAAACCGTAACTGTACTTTGTTTTGGACCGGGGAGGTTCCAAAAAGACTGTTTCTTCTACCCTATTTACTCACATAATCCAGTTACTATGGCATATAGGGTGCAGGAGCAATTGACAGCGTAGTGATTCAGAAGGAGTTAGGGCGAAAGCTGGCTCTTCCTCTAACCTGCTGAATGATAGAGCACGTTACTTAACCGTTCTCAGCCTCTGCTAATCCTTCTCTTAGCCACCGCAGGGCTCTTGGGATTAAAAGAGGGAGCATCTGTATTCAGCACAGGGGCTGGCAATTAGTAGGTCATTGATAAGCGATAGAGGCCATTGTTATTACTACACACATTGACTGAGTACCTTATTGCAGACTTTCACTTCATGTGAGTCCCTAACCAGACGGGCTGAAAAGAATAGAGGTTTGCCTGACCTGTGTGATCTTCACGAATGGGGGATCCGCAGGCCCTCTTTGCCTCTCCTGCTTCACAGCCAGTTCCCGGGAGAAGGGCTCCGGCCCTGAGCAGGAGAGTTTCTTTTCCGAGAGTGTAGTTAGTGTAGTTCATCTGTTCAATCTTAAACACCTACTTAGTGCCAAATATATGGAGGTGGAGAAGGAGACAGGGAGACCAAGATTCAACATTTTAAAGTGTTTTTCTAACATTTTTTAATTACAAAAATACATACTTCTAGCTTTAAGAAAAATCCAACCATAATAAAGGCAGAAAGTGAAAAGTAAAATTTCTCCCCAAATCTTGCTCACTCACTTGACTGCCCTTCCTTAAAATATCCACTATTCAGTGGTTCAGTGTGTAGCCTGCCAGACATTTTAACACATCTATATGCGAGTCTGTCTTTTTTGTTCTAAACATAAACGGCAGCATTCTGTGCCAACAGTTTTTTACTTGTTTTTAAATAAAATATTCTGGCCACCTTTCCTTGTCAGTATATAAGTTTGCTTCATTTTTTTCATGGTCTTATAGTATTATATTGAGCGCTTTTAACCAGTCCCCTTCTGATAAAGATATAGGTGATTCTAGCTTTTCAGTATTGCAAACCATACTGCAATAAGCATCACTGTATAGAACATCTTTGTGCATAATATCAATATATCTATAGGGTAATTCCTAGAAATGGCACAAAAAGACTGCGCCAAGCAGCAGGGTAGGTAGCATCTTCTTTTTCCACCCCCTCAATCAATTTCGGGTACTGTCTTCCCATCTTTTTAGTCTTCATCAATATGGTAGCTGAAATGGCGTGAGATTGAATAAGAGTCCATGCCCTCAAGCTCATTGTTTAGTGGAGACAAATATGTAAACCAAGAGTGACCATGTAATAGTGTGAAAAGTGTTATAATCGAGCATGATACAAATTGCTGTGGGAATATGCAGGAAGGAGTGACTGACCAACTGCTGACCGGAATTTGGAAAGTCGCCAGGTGGGCTATGAGGGCAGGGCATTTAAATGTTGGGGGTTCAGCAGAGCTTTGTCCCGTGCCTATACGCCCGCCTCTAATAGGTTCATGACTCTGGAATTGAGATCTCTAGCCTAACCTTCCGAGTTCCAAATCCAAATAGCCAAGTGCACCCCTGACATCTCCATTTGGACATCTCAGAAGACCCTCAAACTCAACATGTCCCCAGTAGAACTCAAACTGCAGCCATTAGCAGTGCTGCTTCAGGGCCCGGATGACTTATGTAGCTTGGGGCCTGGGAGAAGCTCCTCTTTTAGGACCCAGGCCTGTTCCAGCACCTTGAGAGCATCAGGGCCAGCAAAACTTAAGGAGATATTCACTTTCAGGGCCATCCTCCTTGCTTGCTTACCTCACTCTATTCCTGAGCTGCTCTTAGCATTCCCACAGAAGGCACCTTTGGTAGGAGCCATGGGCAGGGACAGAGGGGATTGGAGCAGGGTTGGTGTGCCCAAGTGTGGACTTGGCCCCACTGCTTTGTCTTACAGTCACATGTAGAAAGCTCCTAGAAGTGTCCCAAAAATACTTGAAGGGGATTTTGCAGGGGCAACAATAGAAACTCAGAATGATTAGTTTCACATGGTTTTTTTTAAATCCACAGGTGCGTAAGCCTGCATGATATTTGGATAATAATAATCTTTTTTTCTGCCTGTCCTCCCAACCAGGAGGTGAGTGGCTTGTGGGCAGGAACTACTTCTGCCTCTATATACAAAGGTTGGAACAGAACAGGCATTGGATACATGTATGTTGATCAAGTAAATATCTGCAAAATAAACTCATTCTCCCTGTTGCCTTTATCATTGACTTGCTCCTCCTTCGGTGTCCCCTGTCTTAGGAACACTACCCCCAACTCATTGCATAGCTGGAAACCTAAGAGTCATCCTCCTCTCCACTGCCTCACCACTCTACCCCCACCATACACAATCTGTATCTACATCCAATTGTTGTTTACTTCATAAATATTGCAAATCCCATCCATGTTTCTCTGTCTCCATTACCCCTGTGTCCATCTGAGGTGCTATAATGCCTCACCTGAACTTCTGCCACCTCTGAACTGGTCCCCTACTTCTTCTCCTGCTTCTGCACCCTTTCTCTATTTTCCACCCAGAAGCCAGCATAATATTTTCAGAATGCAAATCTGATCATGTCTGTCTGTGTCACCATATCGCTCCCCCCCTACGCACGCGCGCGCGCGCACACACACACACACACACACACACACACCTACCTTATTAAACCTTCTCAGCGACTTCCCATTGCCCTTAGGATAAAGACCAGAATGTTAATCATGTCCGACTGAGCCCTGCCCACAATGCCAGCCTTGCCTGGCTTTTCTGCCTCCCCTCATGCCATTCTCCTCCTTAGTTCCTGTGCTTAGCAACCCTGGCCTTTTTCAGTTCCTCTAATAAGCCAGATTCCTGTCTCCCCCAGATGGCACACTTTCTGGCTCCTTTGCCTGAAACCAATCACTTCTCCCTCACCCCAACCCAGCCCTTGCCTGCCCCCTGCCTCTTCTCCTTAGATACTATAATTCCCACACATCCTTCAGATACAGTATATGAAAATGTCTCTTCTTCAGGGAAGCCTTCCCAGATCCTCATGGCTCATTCCTAACACCTATTACATTTTATTTTTTTTTATTTTTTTATTTTTTTTAAATTTTTTATTGGGGAATTGGGGGGATGGGAACAGTGCTGGGGAATTGGGGGAAGGGGAACAGACAAGTTGCTGTCGTTTTGTTCTTCAATCTAGTTGTGGAGGACGTTGCTTCACTGGCCCAAGTTGGCACCATCATTGCGCTCTTCCCGGGCGAGGCAGATCAGTCGCCGGCTTCTGGACGGCCGCTCACTGTGGCTGCTGGCCGCTCACGCTGGCTGCTGGCTACATACGGCAGCCCATGGCAACCCACTGCCACAGGGGCTGCAGCCCACGCCGTCGCCGGCGACTCATGGCAGCCCAGCTCCAGGTTGAGCTGTTGTTCAGCATCTCAGCTGTGGAGGGCAGTGTCACTGGCCCTCATATGTGGGATCCGAACCGGGGCCCTCTGGCATCCCAAGCGAGCTCCCAACCATCGCGCCACTCGGCCGGCCCGACATTTTAAATGTGCTTCTTTGTGTTAGTATTTGAGTAACACCCACCTCTGCCATTTGAATGAGGGGAGGAACTTTGCCTGTGGTGTTAAAGGTTATGTCCCGAGCACCCAGTGCAATGCCTGGATTGGTTGATCAATAAAGATTTGTTGGTTCAATGAATAGAAATAGGAATGGCACATGCAGAGACATTAAACCATTACAAAACTTGGCATGGGTCCCTGGAATGACAAATCCATGACCTAGATTGGGGGCGGGTGCATGGCAAAATGGAAGGAGCTGAGGCCCAAAAGGTAGTCTGTGTCTTGATGCTTAAATAAGGAAATTGAATGCCCATGGAGAGCAGCGAGGTGCTGTAGTCACTAGAGTAAAGAAGGAAACCAGGGGCGCACAGGCCATTTTTGGCCTATGTATTGGGTCTTTGGAAAAGTCATGACCCATGTTTGCAACAGATGGCACTAGTTCATTTTTGGAAGTACTAGAGTCGTTCGCATCTATGTTATTGCTATGTCATTTGACAGCTGACAGTTCTAGCATCATTCTTTAAAAAAATTGAGTGATTTAGTTGAGTTTTGGAGATTTCACAACAAGTTGAAGATGGAAGACCAAACTGTGCATTTTTACCATATTTTACTGTTTTACTTCCATAAAGGAAAGAATGCGTGTAAAGCTTGTGAAAAGTTGCAAACAGTTTACGATGACAATGCTCTACAAGAACGTCAGTGCCAATGATGGTTCACGAAATTCTGTGTTGGTGATTTTTATCTCAACGACGCTCCTCGGTCAGGGAGGCCCACCGAGGTTGATGACGACAAAATAAAGGCATTGATCAAGTCAAACCCCCGTTACACGACACGCGAGATTGCAGAAACGTTGAGCATCCATCATTCAAGTGTTCACGATCACCTGAAGAAGGTGGGATATATAAGCAAACTCGATAAATGAACTCAAAAGTTCATTTGACTGTGCATATAAACGTCTGCAATATGCTCATTAAACGTGAGGAAAATGATCCTTTTTTGAAGCGACTGATAGCTGGTGATGAGAAGTGGATTGTTTACAACAATGTAGTGTGCAAACGGTCTTGGTCCCCACATGATGATTCGCCTCAAATGACATCAAAAGCAGACATTCATCAGAGGAAGGTTATGCTCTCAGTGTGGTGGGATTTTAAAGGTGTCGTGTTTTTCGAGCTCCTACTAAGGAACCAAACAATCAATTCGAATGTGTACTGTCGGCAATTGGACAGTTTGAATGAATCCATCATACAGAAACGTCCAGAGCTTGTTAATTGTAAAGGAATTGTGTTCCATCGCGACAACGCGAGACCACACATGTTTGGTCACCCATCAAAAATTATTAGAGCTTGGATGGGATGTGTTGCCACACCCACGATACTCACCTGACCTTGTGCCGTCAGACTTCCACTTGTTTCCCTCTCTTCAAAACTCCTTACATGGTATAACGTTCAATTCAGGTGAGGCTGTAAATCAACACCGTGTTCAGTTTTTCTCAAATAAAGACAGGTCCTTCTATGAACGAGGAATTATGAAGCTCACTGAAAGATGGCAAAAGGTTATCGAACGAAATGGGCATTATATCATTGATTGATTTTTGTTCTTTATATAAATAAATGACCTTTGAAAAACATAGACAAAATATGTCATGACTTTTTCAAAGACCCAATATTTGTTTTAATTGGCCTGTCTAATTTTAAAAAATTGAAATAGTTGCCAGTACTTAAACACTGGCTATGTCATTTGAAAATGTCACTGGGAAATTTCACATTTAAAAAACAATTCTAGATTTCTAGTTATTCTTGAAACATCAGATATTCTAGGAACCCTGTGTTTGTATTCCTCCAAGTAATAATTAACTTCTGTCATTAGAGGGCACTGCCTTGAACTCCTCAGGCATTTTTTGCTATCAGTCTGACTCTCTAAGCATTTGAGTTAGTGACCTAGTTCTAAAGGGATCATTCTGGTGGTGATGGGAGAAGAGATTGGAGTGGATGCAGAAGGGCAATGGCAGCCCAAGAACCCCAGGGAGAGAAGGGAGTTCACATTCAAGTTGGAGACGCCTAGACCCAAGAGATACTACATCTGGACTTAGTCAGTTGGGCCCAGGCTTGAGGTGGGTCAGGGGAATAAGCTTCAGTACCTAGGGCCCCTCTTCCACCATTAGAAGTTTGTTTGGGCTAAAGAGAAGTAAAAATAAAACAGGATATCTGCTGTAGTCCTGGCTGATCTGAGAGTAAATGAATGAAAACTTTGGAACTTTAGCAAGATAAATGTTACCTTCTTCTGGTCTCACCCTTGCCCTCTCCATGCCTCCCAGAGATAAAAGATAAATAAGACCATGGTCCTTACTATAGTGGAATTGACAGTCTGGTGAGAGAAGAAGATATTTAAATAATTGAATGCACAATGTGTGTTAGATAACAGAGAAGCACTCATTCATTCAACAAGTGTATTTTGCCAGACACTGTGCTAGGTGCTGAGGACATAGTCATGAAGAAGACAGAAATGGCCTCTGCCCTCATAGAGCTTATACCTAGGTACTTCGGGAGATCAGAAGATGATGGAATTAATTCTGAAGGAGATTTACATGGGATGGAAGTTCTGGAAGGCAAACATTTGAGCTGAGCCTGGAAGGAAGAATACAATTTTGTTAGGGTTTGGATCGGAGCATAGAAGATTCATTCTAATCAGAAGAAAGAACAGGAAGAACTGGTGATTGATTATGTGTGAGATGTTTGAGGAATAATGAAGTATTGGGTTGGAGTGATTTTTTAGTAGAGAAGAAAAAAAATTGTTTAGACCCTAAGTTGCCTTTCAATCTAAATACAATTTTTTACTAGAAATTGAATTCTCTGAAATGGAGCTATTTCAAAAATAACTAAAATGAGAAAATAATTCACAGGTGAACCACTGTTGTCCCAGTGTATAAGGTATCACTGTAAAATAAAGTAGTCATTTTAAATCAACACAGCACTCTAGAACTTATATGTTGAAATGACAGAGCTTTGGATGCTTTTTTCCAAATTGTCTTCAGAGCCTTAAGTCCATTCTTCAGACTATTATCAGAGGTGCAAGTTTTTATTCTTGAGAGTGAACTTAATTTTGAAAAACAAATAACCCAGAGCCAAAGTTAGTGAATAAGGTAGAAATCAAGTTGGGGAGAAAGATTTTGAGTAAAAAATTAAGCGTGACTACAGACTAGTAAACCTGATTTTCTTTTGTAAGTTTTAAAGTGACCCTGAAGTCAATTCTAAAAGATGAGATCCCAAAATGATTTTTGAGCATTGGTGGCCCTGTCAGAACAAGGGTAGACACATCCACACAAAGCAATTACTTCAAGAACAGCACTTATCTAATTCATGCATACATGGTTCATTCATTCAATAAATATTTATTAACCACTACCTAATAGATGCCAAGCATGGTTGTGGGTGTTGAAGTAAGTAGTGAACAAAATAGACAGGCTCCCTGCATTTGGGCTGCTTTCTAAATAGGGGAGACAGGGGCCGGACGAGTGGCTCAATTAGTTAAGAGCTCACTCAAGAGTGCAAGCTCTGAGCAACAGGGTCGCTGGTTCAATTCCCGGCCCGAGCTGAGCTGACGCTGAGCTGCCAACAGATGGCAGGATGGCTCAGCTAATAAATAAATAAATAAATAAATAAATAAATAAATAAATAAATAAATAAA